TGCTTAATCATACAGACTGCAGCTATATTAGTCAACCTAAAATTATCCATAAGCATTTCTATGTCACAGATACACTGCCTGGAGACGGACTCTGAAACAGGCACTAAAAGCCATCCAGATGCAGTCACTTTTATTGAAGCAAATCAATCTGCCTCCATGCCTGGTCATCCTGTTTCAAATGTCCACTTTGTTCCAGGAACAGCTCTCTTACTTTATTTACTTCTACAAAGTGAAAGCTTTCTGTCCCTTCTCAGATTTAGGAGCATTCTAAAACTCAGGGTTTTGTACTGCTTTCCCACTAACAGAGACACTAGGCCACAAAGCAATAAGCATCCACTTGGACACTACCAGGGGGAAAAAACATAAACAAAATCCAAAAAACATGTAGTCACAGAAAGAAAATCTTCCTATGCATTCCTTTTCGTATAAGCATCACATAGGCAGCTTTAATTCTGGCACATCCTTACTTCTGAGGAGGATTATTTCCTTCCTTTGAGTGGATTTGTAACTTTAGCACTATTTTAATCTTGGAAATAAATTTCTGTATTACATCCTGTACTTTCATCATCTAAAGACATATGGCATGAGGGGATAAAATTTATAATCATGCTGTATGCCAGTTAACTAAAGCCTGGTAATATTCTAGTGCTGATCTTCAGAGAAAAATACAGAACTGGCAATGCTGTGCGTATTTGTTAACCAGCTATAGAGGCTGAGTACTTTTTATCAATGGGCTTCTGCATTTTCCCTGAACTATTATAAAATCTCTCTCTTCAAGGTCAGTTGAACCATAGTTTTTCCCTATAAGTAGAGATCGAATTGTTCCCTATGGTGGAGACAGCTGCTGCTTAGATAGTAATGCTTTCTTCACATTTCTTTTTCCTGCAGGAAATCATCATAAAACATGTTACTGACAGAGACACTTGATGTGAAGTAAGAACCTGCTTTGAAGAGTGACTCCACACAAGACTATGTTTATCACCTCTCAGTAACACTATAACAGACAATCGTTTGAGAAGGAAAAGATTTGCTTTTCTTGAATGGTCTCTTCCAAACTCATCCTAGACTGACTTTTCCCTTTCACTGATCATTACCAATAATAACCATACTGCAGAAGAAATTATGTCCTCAGAGACACCCACACAATGCCATTCCTCTCCACTGAGCATGTGCAGTTACAGTTTGGCTTTCTCTCCTTGCTGCGACCTTATCCCATCTCACAACTTAGGCAACTTGCAGTAGGCAATCACAGAATCTTCAAATTTCTGCCGCCATGTAAACACGAATACTTGAAACATATACTACCGTTGGAACCACAAGCACGAATGCCCAGACACAGCAGCAAGGGATAGCTATGTAAAACTTCAAACCAGATGGACAAACTTTCAGTCTGACACAGGACACTGGTATCTCACTTTCCTCTGCGTGAAGGACAGAGAAGCGAAACCATTCTTTCTTTCACCCACATCAACCATTCTAACATCATTTTCCAGTGCCTACTCAATTTGTTTTGTCTTATTTCTGAGAGTACACCACAGAGGTCGCTTCTGTGGGCTCAGAAAGCCAGTAACAGGAAGCATAGCAGACAAACAGAAATTCTTCTCAACAACCATGGAGCAGCCCCATTCCCAGATGAAGCCAAATCTAAGGTGGGGAAAGAATAGGTGACAGTGATGGGAAAACAATCTACAATCCTCTTGTCTCTTACCATAACCCAACCTTGTGCCAGAATTTAGTCCTGCAACCATAACCGTAGCTTTTGGTTTGTCGTATTACCCTGTAGCAATGAAGATCTATCCCCTATGCTCTTCCAGTTTTGCATAGAAGGGTTTTTTCCCTCTCCATTTCCTCCTCCAATTCACCCAGAATTCTTACACTTCTGGTATTTTCTCTGTTGAACGAACACTTCTTCCCTGCTTCACTCTGCTGCTAACTACGATTGCTTAGGGTGCCATACCACAAGCTCCAAAGGTCCTATGTGAAGAAATGCTGGCTTTTTTCCTACTATTCTTTTACTCACTAAAATCCAATCACTCATTGGTTGAGGATGCTTTATCTGTCCACCCCACATACAAGCTGTTGCAGGTACCAGAGACATTAGGAGCCTCGATTTCAGTGCCAGCCATGCCAGGCTGACTGGGGCGGTGAGCAGGATATGCCAGGTACGCGCTGCTGATTAACCACAGCTCTCACCCCTCCACCCAGCCTCTTTAAAGGCAGTCTTAATTAACTTTCAAAGGCATTAGGAATATTAACTAATTCAAATATGCACTAAAAGAAGAGAAAAAACATTTTAAATTACATTCCAGTTAAAAACCCTAAACTTCCTTTAAGCATTGGCATTGCCACCTCAATTTTCTGCACCAAATTTGTCTCGAGGAAAGATTCTCAGAGGCAGATTTGAAGAAAGGGAAAAAAAGTAAGCTATGCTTGATGAGATGAAATTTCCAAGTGGTTCCTGCCATGACAACACTATAGATAAAAAGTATTTTTTTAGAAGGTACTTTCAGCTAGTGCTTCACTAAGGAGGCAATTCATATCTATGCAGTATGGAAAATTCTGTAAACCAACAAATTTCTTGTTAAGGTTCCTGTACTTTGAACACTTGCTACTGTTACTTTACTGTTGCTAGTATTGGCACTTGCCTTCTCAGGCCAACCAAAGCTCTACTGCATACCCCATGAATTTAAATAGTGTAGCCCTACAATCATGACAATCTTGCCCCACTGAAATAAAGCATAGACCACTATTTTTCCACTGACAGAGGTTTTTGGCCTAAAGAAGGGAGTGATGGTGGTGTATTTTTCAACGGTGTTTAGAATTCCCTCAGCAGTCACGACCTCTATTTACAGTTGTGCCTTGCTTGATAAGAATCATTATTTCCCCTTCCCTCACTTGTCAGTGCTCAGGCCTTTCCATAATATCAAGCACTTAGATTCATGAAATGAACATGTTCCAACCATCATGTCAAATGAGAAAATGGTTTAACGACGCAAATTACCTTTCAAAATTTACACAGAAGCAAAAGAATGGATACAAAAGTTCCCAATGCAAAGTATTTCCCTTGAAAGTAGACTTCCAAACAAACACGCTTACTAACAGACCCAGAGGAGATTGCTGGGGTATCTATCTTCACAAGACCCTGTGATTTATAGGCAGACTGGAGGCTGAAAAATGAGGCATTTCAAAGGTTAACAAGCTTGCCATTGCACACAGTAACACTATAAAAGCAAGAGATGTGGTTCTTATTTGTCCTTCTCCCACCCTCCCCAACTCATCTATTGAGATAAATTGTCATGGCAACTTGATTCATACACCAAGGATACTAGCAAAGTCAAGTCAATTCCTCCTGGAGAGCCTGTGAATAGAAAGAGTCATGCCCATTCTGATGCTGGCAGAGACTAAAACGAGACGCCCTTCCCTGTCACAGGCTCACCAGAGCAACTTCTCCCCACAGTGTTACTCTCCGCCAGACACCCTTGCTCAGACGGCAGCCGTGAGCCTCCCGCTCGCGTCGAAGGCAAGACTGCGTCACTGGGAGAAAGTCCTCCCCTGTGTATTTGACTAGCTTTTACTAAATGCGAGTTGAGTTACAAAAGAAAATTCTTAATTGCAGAAATTTGCATTAGTAGATTTTCCTTACTGAGGAAGCACATACATTTACCGACTGTAACTCCAGCATTTCAGTAAAAACTACAGTTTATTGTTGGACAGCAGTACGGACCATATTTCTTTCAGATCTCCACAGTCTCTTCAGAAGAGTGAAAAGCACAGAATAAATTAAATTTTTTCCTTCACCTGCAGTCACATTTCATGTAACTTCTTTTCCTTTACATATATATATATATGTATGAAGACAAGCAGTAATTTTCCAATATATTTTGAGAATTTAAGAGAACTGTACTAACATGCTGTATATAAGCTCTCTTGACACAGACAGTAGCATACACACTTCCATTCCATCACCTTACGTCCTTCTATGACAGCCACATAAACTATCCTGTACTGGCTACACAGGCTCTTAGCACTGGTCAGAGCATCCAGCCTGCACCTCTGACATCCCTCTCACCAGATGCTGTCGCTAGCGTGTGCAGTGAAAGACACTGGCCTTCCTGCATGTACTGAACGTAGTCACAGCATGGTTTGGGTTGGAAGGGACCTTAAAGACCATCCAGTTCCAACCCCCCTGCCATGGGCAGGGACACCTTCCACTAGGTCAGGCTGCCTCCTTTAATTCTCAGCAGGGTGACCGACCCTCACGTTAATAACAAACCGGGCTACCTGAGGAACATGTAAACATATACCAAAAGAGGGGATGCAATTCTTCCACCAGTTCTTAAGAATGCTCTCTTTGTAATAGAAAATCCTTCGCAAACTTGGGCCTAGAAGTGCAGTTGGCAATACACAATTTAAATAAAAATAAACACATACCACAGCAGATAAATAAGCGTTTATTGAAGTTCATCTCAAAACAAACAAAAATAATAAAGGACATTAAGGCATCTTGTATTCAGTAACTGTTCATATAGTAAAGATGACTTCTCTTTTGGATACAAGAGAGCAGGTTAGGAAAAAAAAAAAAAAAAAAAAAAAGAGTTCTCCCGACACATCTGGCAGAGTACTGCCTTCCACTCTGTCCCCTCTCCGTCAGCAAACCCCTTCAAGGAATGCCCCTTTCTCCAAAACAAATCCCAACACTCCTCGAGACTTGTGCAAGAAAGCTCTTTTCCCTCCCCTCAGACACCCAACCTTCTGTAAAGCTGCCCACTGGAGGAAGACTAACGGGGGGCATCGCAGAGAATAAGGATGACCATCTCCTGCTGTAACCACTGGGGTGGAGCAGACTAGAATGTCTGGCCTTGCCTTCGCTAGCGTTTACTACTTCAGCCAGTAACCACTGAAAACAGAACCACAAGCTCTAGTCTGTATTGCAATGCAACAATTTATGTTTTCCTTCTACGTTCACATTAGATAAACAAATGACAAAGGCCTTGTTTCCACGGAATAATTTATTTTGATGAATTATGCTGTCAAGTGAGCAATCACTGTTATAGTGCTTTTTTTTCTTCAATTGGAATAAGAACATCAGGAAGTGTTTACAGTATCACTGGGTTCACTATAACAGGATTTTACTACAGAGTAAAATATAAATTAAGAAACACTGCATGTAGCACTATTCACTTCACCACACTGGCTCTCCACAGCCCTTGTCACATTCTAACCTTCATTTAAGGCAAGTTTGTTTGTTTTCCAAAGAAGACCACACAGTCTCTAAATAAACTTGTGTGACTAGGTTTGCCCGTTAGGAAATTGAGCTTTATAAAATGTTTACTTCAACAAATCTGAAAGTCAGTAAGAGACAGATGGTGACCCAAAATTGCACTGTATTAAAAGGTGGAGTTTCCTTGTACCAAAGTCCTTTATTCATCATCTTTAGAACCAGTTTTGCTTAACTATAAAAGAGACACAAAAAGAAAGTATTCAAAGTTTAGACTGCCATTCCATTTATTAGGAAACACGAACAATATTATCTCCATCTTACATAGAGCACACGTATATTTAATTAAGAATACAGACTGATTGTGCTACTGTACCAAGAAACTGAAAAGCAGCAGAAATTACTTCTTAAGTTTGAACACTAAATAAGCTTATTTCCTGAATGTGAAAGTTGATTTTAAAAAAACAGCAACACAAAACCCCAGAAAAACCTCAGGGTACTCTTTCTATTTAATCTGAAGACTCCCTCACCAGCTCTCCAAAACAAAAAAGATGAAGTAATGGAAAAAGTATCTCTACACATCTCTGAGAGAATGCCCATTTAGAAATTTACACAATACAGAAAGAGACACTAACTTACTATTTCTCACTTTTGAAAGCTAAGTTTCATCTACCATGAAATCTATCTGGAATCCAAGACATCCACTACAAACAGCCGCTTTTAACTCAGAAGAGCTCTGCCCAAACCCACCATCATCATTTACCTGCTCTTATTCAACTGGTGTTAGGTCTTACACCAAGAATTACTTATAGTTGCGTAAAATATCTGCTTTCAAAATCGTCAGACAGCTATACTGATTTCCACTGAATCAGCAAAGACAAAAGGGTGGAAGAAATCAGTGCTGAGGGAGCAGGCAGAAAAGAATTATTCACTGGCGCAGCTGTGGCAGAGAATGCTCAGGCCTGTAGGAGACAGCAAGGAGCTCCTGCTTGGGACAGCTCCCTTGTCCTGCTCGCCTACCCGCTGTCCTCCAGAACCTGGCAGCACCACTAGCTTCATCTCACATCCTGCTGCCATGTGAAGACCAAATATTTGCAGTGCATTTGGCGAGCAAAGCTCTCTCGTCACAACATTAAATTGTTCAATAAATAAGAAGAGAAATACTAAACCAAAGTTCAAAGAGGAATCAAAGTCCTTCTGACTGCTACTATTCAGAAGGACTAAGCTTTTAAAGCATTTCTGAAATATGTAACTTATGAGTCCAAAATGAGCAACAGTTCTTAATATTTCTCGCAAATCTTTTTAACGATAATAAAACAGGTAAGTTGAAAATACTTACATGCTGGATGCATACAGAAAGGAATCAGACACCACAGTCAAATCCAAACAAAGTTAGGAAGAAAAGTAAGAAAAAAAAATAAAATGTTGTTTTCTTCAGATATAAGTACAAATTATTTTTAATGTATGCACACAGTATTTTCATAATACTGCACATAACAGTCGTGTTACCTTAATTACGTCCACCCAGTTCCATCCTCGCGGAAGCTCCCCTTTGTTATCTGCAGAATAAGAAGGTTTTATTTCAACACACAAGCTAAGGGGAATCTTTATCTTTCTTTAAAATAAAAATTCTACACACAAAATTCTTAAGGTCCAAAAACCTTAACTTCTACCACTACAAAGCCATGAGGACAGAAATAGATATTAATGGCTTAAACATATCTTCTTCTTCAAAGTAATTCTGTTTAAATAAAAACACCTCAGTCCATCTGGCAACTCCAACGTGAGCTGGGCTGAGAAGCAACGATGCGTTCTGTCTAAGAACAAAATTTTACACAGCTTTTCCTTTAGACAGTCAACATTTGACCTGCCAGTTATGCATGAGGTTAGGTAAACTGTATGCAGAAATAACTATCCCAGGGTACGACTTACTGCTGCAACAGGACTTTATTATCCACATCACTATGAAAAAATAAGGTTGACCACACAGAAGTCATCAGCAGGATTAGCTGCTTTTCAATCAAAAACCTACCATTTCATTAAAAGTATAAAGTATCTGCAAAAGCAGATACCACTATTTTGAGGATACAAACTAAATTAAATGTTTTATTTTGGGTTCTGAACCAAATTACTTCGAAATGAAAGTATGTTTTTCTCCAAGCACAGGCTGGACGGAGAATGGGTC